TGGAAACCTTGAAATTTTTGATAAATATTGATCGAGTTCATTGATAGTAGCCTGTTCACAAAGTTCTTTTAGCATCTCTCTTATATATACTATTTGCTAATTAAACAGCCCTAAATCTAAATGATGCATTTTATCTAAAACTGTAGCTAAGTAAATGTTTAGTTAGCTAAAATAAAATAAAAAACATTAATAAAAATAAATATACACTGGTTAAAAAAATTATATTTTAACTAAATAATATTTTTTAATACTGTATAATAACTTAATTACTAGATAATATATATTATTTATTTACTACAGTAGTAAATACAATAATATATATTATCTGATAATTAAGTTATTATATAGTATTATAAATATTATTTAGTTAAAATATTATATATATTGAATAGTATTTAAATATTGCTATTCAATATATTTTAAAATTTGCCAGATTTTTAAATTATTACTTACAAATATTTTCAAAAAATATTTTCTATATTATACATAGAATTTTAATATGCAAGTTCTTGATTTACAATATTTTTTATTGTTTCTAAAATTCTTAATATAATTTGCTTTTCATTTAACTTAATATTGTTCATCTTCTCAACTGGCATTAGGCAATTATGACAAGGATGTTTATTGTAATTGAATTATATTTTAGTATTATTGATGAATACTCTGGAAAATCTTTTATTAGTGTAGATATAAATAGGTAATACCACAGATTGCCATAGTCTATTTAAGATCAAATCTATTTTCTTTGTAGTCAAGCAATAGTTCTTTATTGCTCAATAGTTCCTTTATAGCATCAAAATAAAATGATAGTTTAGATAATATGTTTCTTCTTTATAAGTTATAATAAGTACTTTTTTAAATGAAAGATATGGCACTGTTATTTGATCTAAAAACTAACGATCTTGTTTTATTGAGATAGATAAAACTGGATTGTAAAGGCCATAACATATATTATATTATGAACTTTTATATAGTTTCGAAGTGAAGCTCTATAAAAAAATATTCTTTCATACTTTGTATATTGAAACTTTATTGTTTTAAAAAGGTATCTGTATATAATATTTGTAATGACTTAGAGTTAAATATGATTCTAATCATGATTTTGATTTAATGCATATTATTATGTATCAATTATTATAAAACTGATATAATCACAATACTATTTTTGTTAAGCAAAAAAATACTGGTTTAATAGTATGAAATATTTTAAGAAAGTTATATCTTAATATTTAATATATAAATGCAAGCTCTATCATTTAACAAATCAACTTGTTCGAAAATGATTGCAAATTATAATGACTTTTACAAAAGTCGATTGGACTAAAGTTGATGAAAATGTGAACTACTATGTTGGAAAAAAGTAGGCAAAAGATATGAATTTTTATTGATTAGGTATAGTTGATATAGATTTACAAATATCAATATAGTTGATCTTTTTCTAGAGAATAAATTTAAATTATTCTATCCAATACAATATGATAAATTTTAATACTATGAATTATAATTCTATTAATATGTAATTGAATAAATATTAAAGGCAGTGTCATTTATCACCTGATTTTTTTTTATTAAAGGCTTACCTCCTCATCTCTCTTATTATATATATTAATCAGGTCTTTATATATAATTTTAAATTTTTTACTCCTCCTCTCTTAAAAAATCATCTAATTTTTGTCATATCTCTAATCTATATCTTTTTGTATACATTAGTTGTATTTTATATTACTTATTATTTCTGATATCTGTAATCACTTATACATCTTAGAGCTGATAACAATGCTGTTATATTTTTATAGCAAAGATTATTGTAATATAAAAATAGTTTTAAGACTTTACAGTATTGATTAATCTGAATATATTATATTTTGACTAATAATGAAATATAGTATTATAAAGTAATTATCTATAGTAAGTAAAATTTTAAATTATTTATTTAATTTTATGCAAGTTTTTATTTGTACTAATGAATCTCTATTGTAGGATAATATTATTATTAATTTGATTATTTAATGTGTCAGTTAATATATCTATTATTACATGTTATGTAAGGGCCATGACATATATTACATAATATCATTTTATTAGAGGTACCCCTTCCTCACATCATATATGATCATATATGAAATATCTATATAAATTATCTTTAGCTATCCTCTAGGATATTATGTAATATCTGTCACTGCCCTAATTTATTTTTTTTATTTTTTTTTGGTTTTAAGATGAGGCCTTGCTTATATCTTTATTAATAATAATTTTTAATAGTAACAAAATAAATTACTATAGCGCAGTTGCTAAGGCTTCTACTTGTAGTTAGGGCTAACTATTAAACCATTAAATATAAAGATTTATAAAGCTACTACTATTTGTATCAATACAAATAAAAATAAAAATTATATGCAAGAATAAGAGCTCAGACAGGGAAAGATTTATCTGTGACCTAAACCTACTAGAGTGGTCAAAGACTCACCTAAGTTAACTGCCCTAATTTATACAATTCAAATACTAATATTACTATATAGTTCTTATTACTTACAAAGATAAATTTTATACAAATAAAGAAGTTTTTTTTTATAACTTTTAATATTTAAAATTAGAAATACAATGTATAAGAAAAAAAGAAAGAGAACTAATATAGATATTTTTTTAAATTTCAATACTTTGAAATACTCTAAACAATTAGCTGATTAAGGTGTAATATCTAATAAATGCAGAATATCAACTTCATCCAAACCAACACTATCCACACCAGCTTTAAAATCATTTGTAATAGTTTCAGCTTTAGTAGCTTCGACTACAAAAGCTTCTTCTATATCAGTATTTTTTAAATTAGTATCATCCATATCATATCATTCATATCAACTTTACCAACAACCAGCTTGTCACAAAATAAAAAAGAAATGAAAAGAAAATAAATTAGTTTCATTCTTATTATTAGTATTTTATTATTTATTAAATTATTTAATATAATTTTATATAACCTAGCCTCAAGTTATTGTTTCAAAGAAAATAAGTTATTTTATTTATATTTTTTTTGTTAGTATTTAACTATTTATTAAATTATCTAATAAAATTTTATATAACTTAGCCTCAAGTTATTATCGAATCTTCACTACTTACTACTTCTAAAAAAACTACTACTATCGAAATTTCAAGTTCATAAAATAATGTTTTCTTTTTTTCTATTTTATTTTATTTTATTTTATTTATTTATTTATTTATTTTTTAACTCTATATTACTTTATATTGTTATTTAATAGCTCAAGTGCTATTGATCTACATATTATAAACAAGGTTCTAAATATCATGCAGACTAACTCTGCAAAACTTGACCAGACTATGCTAAGCTTAAATATTTGATTAAAGAACAACAAGCACAGCTTGGAGAATTTTAAAAAACTTTGAAATTAGTAATAATAATATAAAAAAGGCAAAGAAAAAAGCTTTTAAAAATTCTGAAGATATTTGTTTTCAAGTATGTATATATTTTTATTTATACTAATAGTTTGTCTTGTATTAATATTACTATATATATTATTTATATATTATATATTATATTATAGAATACAGCCAGAAAACTAGCATATGAATTATTTTATAATTATATGCAAATTAGTGATGACCAAATGAAGAAGCAGTTTAAGAAGATATTAAAAAGTGATGAAGAATATGCAGAACAATTACAAAAATTAAATAACAAGGATGTCTCATTTAATTCATTTTGGAATGCTAAACTTTATTCTGAAGTAGTATCTTATCTAATTTTACTTATATGAGTATCATAAAAGAAAATCTGTAATTTTAAAAATAGATTATTATAAATTTTATAATACAGGTTTTGTATACCAATTTCGAACATCTGAGCAATCAATTTCAAACATTTGAGCAATCAATTTCAAATATCTGAGCAATCAATTTTAAATATATAAGCAATCAAATTTGAATATTATAGCAATCAAATTCAGATAGATTAGCAATCAAATTTAAATATCTAAGCAATCAAATTTAGATACCTGAGCAATCAAATTTGGATAGCTTAGCAATAAAATTCAAATATTTTAGCAATCAATCTTGGATACTATAGCAATCAAATTTGAATACTATAGCGATCAATTTGGATATCTAAGCAATCAAATTTAAACAGTAATATTTAAGAATCTAGTAATCTAAATTATATAATTTTGGTACTATTAGACTCATCTGATCATGAAGAATAGAATAGTACTAATATAATATAATGTGGATTACTAGATTATGAGATATTATTGTCTGAATTTGATTGCTTAGATATCTAAATTGATCACTATAGTATTCAAATTTGATTGCTATAGTGTCTAAAGTTGATTGTTAAGATATTTGAATTGCTAAGCTATCCAAATTTAATTGCTATAATATTCAAATTTGATTATTCAGATATCTGAAATTGATTGTTCAGATGACTGAAATTAATTGCTTAGATGTTTAAAATTGATTGCTCAGATATTCGAAATTGATTGCTCAGATATTTAAAATTAATTGCTCAGATATTTGAAATTGATTGCTTAGATATTCGAAATTAGTATACAAAATCTATAATATATTTTTAAAATTGTAGATTTTCTCTTGTGATATTTATTTAATTCCTAAATATTAATTGTATTTAATTTATTTAATATATATAGATGCTTACAGCAATTTGGCTAAAAAAGGTTATTATATTTAATAGGCAAATCGTGAGTCACCTAAACAAATATTTTTTTTATATGTAAATTTTACTATAAGCCTAAATGTGCAGTGCTTCTATCTAAAACTTTTTTTTACTAAGTAAATCTCTCTTGGGCTTGTAACAAAAGTTGTAAAGCTCATCAAGATACATCTAATAGTAGTAAGAATATTAATATCGGCCTGGTGGTTCTTGAGAAATCTTTAAAAAACTTCCTTTTCACAGATAGAAATACTGTATATTCAGGCTTATAGTAAAATTTACATATAAAAAAAAAAAAATTTGTTTAGATGACTTGTGATTTGCCTATTAATATATTAAAGAAAGATTGTGAAGCACCTTTGGTATTAATCAAGTAAAACCGTTTAGTGAAAAAGACACAAAAGAGCAAATAAGAGAATGGAAGAAAAATTCTAAATAGACGTATAAAGATTTATACAATTCTAGTGATCTGAATAATCCAAATTCTGAAACATTTCTTTTATTAATCATAAAGTATATTTTTGTATCTGATGAAGAATATACTCAAGCTAATGCTATTTAGACACAAGCAGTTCTTGAAACTATTTTTGATGAAAAATATCTTTCGCCAAAGATTAATATGGATTTCATCAATATATAGATTCAAAAGCTAACTGCTAAAGATAATGAGAATGTATATGTTGTTTATTAATGATTTTACCAATTTATTTGAACTAGAGGTGCAAATATAACTTTGTAACTTGTTATAACTATAATAAATTACTATGTTTTCTTGTAACTTATTATAATTATAACAAGCTATGGAATTATACTTGTATCTATATATTTTTTTTTAGAATACTGTTTTGCAAAAAGGTTTTACAAGTTCTTCTGCAAGTTCTTCTGCAATATCAGAAGTAGCAATTTAAGAGAACTATGATAAATTATCTAGTGGTGACAATAATGAAAATGATTGTAGTAGTAATAGCAATTATGAGAAAGATTAAATTGCAAGAACAATTTAAGTGATTTAATTAGCAATATGTTATATAGTAGATTAGTACTTAACAATTATTATATATATTTCGTATATTAGTTATAAACTTTGCTATATATTGCTTAATGTATTAAAAAATATATTTTATAATAAATATATATTGCTTAACATAATAATATATATTTTTAAATAGCATTAGTTAATAAAATAAGTTGTTTAACATAATGATACATATTTTTAAATAGTATTAGTTAATAAAATACATTGTTTAATGTGTTGTAAAATTGTTTTTCAATGCTATTAGTCTGTATAAAGTTTATTGTTCTACTGATTGTAGTATTAAATAACTATTAATATTAGTTAACACTTTTTAATACTTTTCAAAACTTCCTGATATACTTCATGAGAGCTTCTTCTAACAGGCTTTTCTAGATATATTTTTTTGTAAGCCTTCTTTTTTTTAAAATATCTTGGGTCTTCCTTTAGTCTTTTTATTTCTGAGTCTTAGATAATCTGCTTAGATTCTTTTTCTTTTGTGATTTGGATTTGCAGATCTTCTTTTTTCTTTTTCTTTACCTTTCTCTTTTTCTTTTTTTTTCTAGATTTTGGTTTTCTTCTTAAAAATTTTTTTTAAATTTCATTCCAAATACTCCAGTTTTCAAAGATTTCTACAAAGATCTTCTTTAATATCTTTAATAATATATCTTTTTTCTTTTTTTTTTAGTTTTTGACTTTTTTTTGTCTGTGTATTGAAGTATCTTGAATTCACTTCATATTAGTATTTCTTTAGGCCTTCAAACACTGTATCTATTTTATAAACAGATATTTCTTTTTTATCTTTTATGCTTTACTATTAGTTTATAAGTCTTTAATACCTATTTGATATATTACTTTAATTAACTATTCTGTTAGATTTGTTATTTTAGCCTTTAGTCTTGGATCTTCTTGAATCTTGTTTAGAGCTTCTACTTTGACCAAGCCTTCGATCTTTTGTCCTCTAGCTTTTTTTTCTTTTTTTTTTTGATCTTTCTTTTTTTTCTTTTTTTGTTTTGCTAACTCTATTTTAGCTAATACTTTGAGAATTACAACCAAAGTCCTTAATGCTAATTTATTGTTTTGTCTTTGTCAAATTTTTCTTTGGTTTTGAAGTTTCTTGCTTCAGCCTACTTCTAATTTTGACTTTATTTTGGCTGCTTGTCTTTT